CTTTACGAGAATTATGCTTGAGAAAGTATTCTTTAATACATTCTTGCAAACACCCTAAAAAACATGATATGTGATGCTTTAAATTCATCTACAGATGGCTGGTGCAACTAGCCATTGAGTTGCATATAAAGCACCAGTCATTCTTGTCATCTGTGCTCTCTTGCAAATAACCGCCCCCTCTGTTTTTTCTGTTGTGGAGTCTGGACATAAATTGATTGCTAATAATTATTATATCCCCTGCTTTTTAGTTTTTAAGCTTATCATGCTACAAGCATATTTTCTATTCTCTGATATGAACTCCCAATCTAATTTGGTTTGCCTTTTCTTTATGCAGTTTTACACATTTCTTGTGACAACACTTGTCACTTCATCGTTATTGCCGAAGTTTATAGCATTTTTAACTGTTGGTGAAAAAAATGGAACACCAGAGACCCTTGTAGCCACTTTTGTCACATTTGGTACGTTGGATGAAAATCTGTATATTGTATCAATTTTCATTTCTTTTCTGTTTCCTTATTTTTATGCTTTGATTATTTCAGTCTTGAACTTATCATTTGCATTGAGTATTATGGGCTTCCTGATTATGCACATATCATTGGTATTAGGCAATACCACCACCATTGAGGTGATGCCTTTTGCTCTGCCCACCCCACCCCCCCCTCTACAATCGTATATTAGCAAGGCATCCAGCGAGTGCATCGATTAAAAGCTCATCTTCTTTCTTTCAGGCATTTGAGAAGAAATCCAGTCCTAAATGGCATTATGACCTTGGTCGAAGGAAAAACTTTGAACAGGTTACTTTTGGTCTTTCTGTTAATCTTTATCCAACCACTGTATATGCATGCTTGCTCATTGACCTTTTGATTTATAACCATTTCATCATATAAAGAGGTTTTTCACACTGTGCTTGTGCTGCTAGATCAGAAAAAACCTGCATAAGTTGCACACTTGATTCTGAATTTCCACGAAGTAATTGCAGACCTATTACACATTTACACAATTGAACAGACCTATTCCATGAACACAAGGGCCACACTGTTCCTTGGAATTGAGGTTTGGATTGTAATGTAGTCCACACTGTTCCCATCACACATTTCCATAATCACTTCCGTTCCCCAGCATAATCGATTCATAGATAAAACTATAAATTGAGGTTTGGATGAAATCAGTCGTGTGTTTCAGTTTTACTTAATCACAGTCATGCTTGTTCATGTCCCCATAATTGTTGACATTCATCCCAACCCATGTTCTTATTTTGTTGAAGTCACCTTTCACTTAGAAAATTACCATCTGCTCATAGCAATTGGGCGGACATGGACATTGACATTTCCCAAGCTGCCAGCACCGTATGTCAAACTGCACATAGAAAACGTTGCGATAACATGAGATTCAAACTTTGGCATGTGCATGGTTCTAGGCTCGGCTTTTACATGTTCCGAAAGCTTCCCCATGATCATGTTTGCTATGATTGGTCATGCTATTGAATGTAGGATTAAGTTTCATAGGTACGCATGCAAAGTGAAATGCTGATCACGGTGGTGAAGTATTGTTTTCTATGTCAGGTGTTTGGGACGGATAAGATATACTGGTTCATCCCTGCTTATTCAGAAGAGGATTTGGAATGCATGCAAGTGCTTCAAGGTTTTGAATATCCAACAAGACCAGACTTGGATGAGCTCCAGCTGTTCTAATGGCATTTATCAGGTTGAATGATATTAAACCGTCTTTTAGGGCTTTGACAATCTGGAAAAGGAGGTGCGCTCGAATGGATCCGAACAAGGAACATGGAAGTATATTTGTGTAGAGATGCGTCCATTTTGAAAAACAAATATGCTGTTCTTGGAACGTCGTAGTGCACGCAGTTGGGGAAAAACAAATTCTAGCAATACCACCTTTCAACTATTATCCTTCATGAAGGCATTCTAAAAGGTGTACATGTGTTTTGAGCTCACTATCCCGTGAACGTGTAGTTCTCACCGCAGAGAAAAGTGGCTACATGCATGGAACATTGGTCAATCAATCTTTACTCAAACTGCAAAATCAGGTGATTTGCTCAATACAAATAATATACAGATAGTATTTACTTGTTTTTGTATTATAAAAGTGTCTCTTAAAAAAAATGAAAATTTTTAAATTTTTCATTTTAAATTAATTTTGTTATGGTGTTACAATATTGGTTTAATATATTGGTATTAAAAATAATTTTATAAAAATAAAATAATTATTATTTTGATAAATTTTCAAATAAAAAATATTTTTAATTCAAATAAATATTACCGTATTTATATGCATGATACTTCAAAACATAAAACAGATACAACTCGGGTAGCATCGGGCAACTGCGAAATTTCTACCATGAAATCTCGGACAGACGGTGAAAATGTATTCACAGAAAACTTGCAAACTGGATTGGCGTCCCACGCCATTCCTACTCTCAAAAGTCCCAAGAAATTTTATCTACGGATAACAAACTGAGACAAGGACTCAAGAGCCATCCATACGGTGGTGGTCATTGTAAAGCGCACATAACTATGGCCCTAAAGACTGCGTTTGTTATGGCAAACATGACCAGAAATGATGCCATTATCCCCATCACTCCACCACCTCCGTAATCATTGTTATCATTGCCACCGCCATCCCACAACCACCGCCCCATCCTCAAATCACAACCACCCCCCACCACTAACCTCTCTCCCTCTCTCATCCCTCAACTATATTATCATATCACATTATTATCATATTCTATTTCCACCATGTTTTTTAAATTATTATTTCGTTAACATTGTGAAACATCTGATGCAAAACTAACACTTTACATTATTACTAAACTTTTTACACGTGATACTCTGGAAGTTTGATTTTAAAAAATTTTAAATGCTAAAAAAAATATATAAGGGCATCACTAATTTGCTTTAAAATAAAAAAGATTTTAACCATTAATTCAAATCCTACCACACATTAAAATAATTTTTTAAAAAGTATTAAGATAATTATATATTAAATAATTTTTTTTAATATTAAGACGGTAACATATTAGATTAAGATCTAGCTCAATCCAGATTTATTAAAAAAATTTGTGATTTAAATTATAAGTTTAAATAAAAAAATAAAAAAATAAATTTAATTTTTTGTTACCTTAATCTTTGGTTATCCCTAAGATGATATTTTCATTAATTATATAACAGGAAGACATGTGGAACTTTTTCGTATGAAATAATATTTTTTAAAAGAACAGGCAGACAAGCACGCGAGACTAAGGTATAAAAAACAAGCTAGTCGCATCACCAAATAAATGAGAACAGATTCATACTTCGCACTCACAAGTTAAACTATCCCTTTTAGAAAACTGGATTCCAGAGAGGAAGGAGTTATCTAAAATTTTATGGGGAACCGAAAGACGGTTGAGGCTAACCTAATAATAATAATAATAATAAGAGTAACTTTGGAGAGCGGGCTACAGCCAGATATTGCCACTTCTGTTCTACACAGAGCGACTGGTGAAGAAATTACTGATTTTGAGAAATTTTGCAACTGCACCTGGAAATTACACTAGTGGACGGGATACCACATGGCACAGACAAATTTTGCAACTGCACCTGGAAATTACACCAGTGGACGGGATACCACATGTCATAGAACAGACAATAGAATCTACTCTAGATTGTAGGTCAACGCAATGAGTATTAAATAATATTCTCAAAGATAGCATATTAGACTGATACTATATGTTATAATTTTATAAAAAATAAATTTATAACTAATTTATTATTAAAAAACTAAATAAAAAGAAATTAAATTGTTAGAAAAAAAATTAAAAAAAATAATTAATCAATTTAAATTAACCTTTAAAACCATCACTCGCATGAGATCATAATATTTTATAAAAATAATTTAAATAAAATTATAAAACACAATTAAAAAAATATCCAGTTAAAAAATAACCAAATAAATAAATAAAATCAATATGTTAAAATTGCAACTCGAGAGTAGTTAAAAAATAACCAAATAAATAAATAAATAAAATCAACATGTTAAAACTGCAACTCGAGAGCATGACATCAAGATAACTTAATAGATAAAAATTACAAAATTCAATTTTTAACACCCAATGTTGAAGAATAACATAAAAATTCAATTAAAAAAATTCTAAAAAAATAATACAAATCAACTCAAGTAAACTTATTAAACTTATAATTTAAATCATGAAATCAAAATAAATTTATGCAAAAAAATTGTTAAACTCGTAACTTATAATATAAGATCGGGATAAAATCATAGAAAACAATGTGAAAAAAAAACACGAAACTCCACTTTTAGTATTGAATATTAAATTAAAAAAAATATAAAACACAATTTCCAAAACAAAATAATATTATGGAATAAAATTTAAAAAAAAAAACTAAAAAAAAAAATAGAGCTTCCAAAGGGTGAAATTAAAATAAAAAACTTATTTAAAAAAACACAACAAAAAGTAATTACGGATGCATCTACAATGATTAAGCCACATTTTATTAGACATTTTAATAAAATCTTATATTTAATATCTTTTTAATGTTAAGAATAGAATTTTAAATAAAATTTAATCTCTAAAAATATTATAAAAATAAACCAAAGAACATCCTTTTTAATATTAAAACTAATTTTTTTAAAATACCATTCTCACTCTTTATTTTAAAGATCTTTGAATAAATAAGATGAAGTTGATAAAAATAATAAAAAAACAAAAAAATTAAATTTTATGTGAATTTAATTTATTTATCAAATCAAACACTATAATTAAATTTAATTATAAGAGAGAATTAATTTCAAACAGTCAATTAGTGTGACCAGGCACCCGTGCCCTTTGATTAGTATAGCATTGTCATTTGCACAAACAGGCGAACCGGAATCCTCTTTGCGCTTTCAAAAATTAAACGCACTGTTGCAGTTCCAAACCTTGTGTAACAAGCTTTTCTAAAGTAGGATTTAAATTTTTAGTGTCACCATGCAACGTAGCAAACCAAAGCTAAATGAGATGATCCCATATTTCAACGGAGATAATGCAGTAATTGCAAATGCAAAATAGAATATAGCATCAAACAAGCTTTGTGCCGATAGGTAGCTTTATTCCTTCTATTAATCTTCAGTAACCGTGGTTAGATGAGACCACTTGCGCAAAACTGCATGGAGGGGGGGATGTACAAAAATTCTAACCCTATATTCTCCATTTTGTAATCACTAAAGGCACTGCAACTACGCCATTTACAGCAATTAATCCGAAATGACTGTAATTAATTGTACACTGCCTTTCAGCTCCGTCTAAGCAAAAATCAAGCCAGGTACCTAAACATGTTTGGGTTTTCCTTGTCTCTTTCTAGATAGTCTCGGGATATCAGATCTTCTATTCGCTTCTTGATAGCTTTAATGTCAGGCTGCAAATTACAATCCATCGTTATATTCAAGGATGACAAATTACATGAAAGAAAAATCTTCCAATATCAATGAAACTCTATCAATACCCTTTACCAGTCTTTCTATTGACAGCGGCTATGCTGCTAGTCTCCTAATTCTCGCTCGTTGAGGTTTACAGGGACTTTCCAGAGAGAGTCACTACGCATGTTAAGGAAGAAGTACCATAGTGGAGTAGAAAAACTCATGTCTGTCTTAATAATTAATTCGTACGAGCATCCACTCTATGTAAGAACCAGAGCGTCCGATTTTCTTAAAAGCCCTCCCCCACTGGACCAACAAGGTAATAGCACTTTCTATTCTTGGTAAAAGTCCATATAATTAACCACATGCCTCAGATTCCTAAATATTTTCCAATTTCTCTAAACTTTGTCTAATAAATTAGAGAGGAAGTGCATGCCATACCTTGAACATGCGAGTCAATTGCTCAACACACTCAATGACTAGCTGTTGATGACCCAAAACTTTCCGGCTCTTCATGATGCGCACAATTGCAGCATCGATTGCATACCGTCTGTCTTTGTGAACATCTTCAACAACCTTCTTTCTTTCATCAACAAGTGGAAGAGGAACCTAAGTTGCAGAATTTCAAGAGCTTAATATCTTAGAGTAAAGCAATAAAACCCCAAATGCAAGAAGGCAATGGTTTCTGTGACATGCTTTGCAGGCAGTTAAAAGTAAAAAATTAAAATATAATTCTGACAGTAGGGAGGTTTAACCTTGATCCTCCTCATTCTGTCATTGAACTTGCGATTGAACTCAAAGGAATCATTTTGGGTAACAGTCTTCGTGTTTGGTTCCTTGCTAAGGATCTTATACTTTCCACATGACAGGGAATGAAGTAATCGGGGCAAATCATCGTCGCTCAAGTTTGACTGAGTCATAATCTCAGGGTAACCAAGCTTGTCTGAAGTATTAAAAAGCATCAGGAGACAAGCCTGTAGAAGATAGAGAGGAATCAAATAATCAGAATCAAACATCTCAATCCAATAACAACAGAATGATATGCAAATCATCCATCCACTATCCTTGAAAAAGGTAAGGTTTAATACAGCACCTGGTAGGTTGTCACAACCAGCTCAATAGGTTTCTGGTCAAACCTGGCATTAATGTGGCAAGATCCCAGCGAGTAAATCCATGTAAGTTTTCTGTGCTTACTCTTTTTGTCATAGAACTCCTTGAAAACTTCCACTCCCCTAGCCTGAAACAAAAGGTTCCAGAATGTTCATTTTGAAGATAAAGGAAAAGCAAATTGCTTCCTATATTTACTGCCAGAATACAGTTATGTCACAAATACAGAAAAATACTGCCATGATTTGTCAAGGTAAATCTTTACCATTTCTGCAGGCAGGTTGATATCAGAGGATTTATAACTTGGCCAGTACCCAGTTGTGAGAACACTAACTTGCGAATCAATCCCAGGATGTGTGGTTGGGTTATTGCCAATATACTCGTCAAAGCTGGACTGGTGTTCCTTTGCCAGTTGCAAATCTGTGACCTGAAAAAAAAAAGACAATCTATCACCACAGTTGCATGGACAGATTGACAAACATTATCCAAGTACCCAGGCCAGCTCACCATTCCTTCCATCTTTGAGGTAAATTGACCACCACATTGCTGCTTCAATTTTGAAAGAATACTCCTTTCATGTTCTTCACTAGCACTTCGATCAAAAAGAAGACGACGGGCAAGCTTTTTCCTGGAGAAAAAACAAAGAATACAAATCAAGTACAAAGAAAGAATAAGAAGAAAAGGTATAGATAACAAGCATATAAAATTAAGGACATGCCAACGATAAGTTTTACCGATAAAATTCAGCAAAAAGGTCCTTGTCACTAATATATGCAAGCAGCTTAACCACCTACAGAAATCCATCACAGTTCAAATTTCTAATCACTAACAAGTCTCAGCACATAGTTCTGAAAAATCTATCAGACTCATTTAAAGATTCACAAATTAACATGACAAATTGGATCACCTTCTCCAGTGTTTCTTCAATGGCTTCATCACTTAGTTTCTCACTTCCCCCCTTTCGGAGGATAGTATCACAAAAGGTGGCCAGTTGTTCAGCACTAGAGCTCCCAGCAACTGTTCTATTGCAAAAAATCTCAAAAGCCTCTTTCATGGCCTATTTCGCAACCCAAAAAAAAGAACAAACCTGTTAAATGAAACAATAAAACAGAAGTTAAAGAACAAGACTATGCTGTCTGCCACCTACCTTGTGAAACAAGGTGTGGTTTTGAAAACAATCAGTCACATAAGTCATGTATTTATCATGCAGCTCAATTATCTTTCGAATGAGAACCTGAAAACCAACCCATCAAGTAAATTTTTTGACATTCCCAACTATCAGTAGGTATCTAAAACATAGAAGGTGAGAGATTTACTTGTTCCTGAACACCACCATTTGCAGCCTGTGGAAGCACGCACCATCTTTAGCACCACAATAAACAATTGAAAAAAGACACATCTAGCTTATTTCTAAATAGATTGAATGAAAAGTTACATTGCGTTAAAAAAACAGCTAAAGAAATATTGAGTCTCGGCATCACAACCTTGAGACTAAGGACTCCAGATGTTTTCTGGTATGACCATATACAAGTGTCAGCAAAAATGTAAAAGACACATTGTTATAACTGCAAGACTGGGGTTTTCCTCTCCCATAAACTATAGTGCTAAGTATGGTCAAAATCATATGAAGAATGCACATAACTTGAAGACTACATAATATACACATGATAGAAATTTAACACATTGAATTATCGCAGCACACAACTAAAACTATACTAAGATGCACAATTTTCCATTAAGCAGTGCAAGGAAAAAAAATCACACGGACAAACCTGGCTACTTGCATCTTCTGCCTGCTGGACCAAGGCTGTTCCTTCAGCAGTAATATGCTGAACAATGCACAAAAATAGAGGGTATGTTGTTGAGAATTGTGGGAAGGGTCGGCAATCCAAAAATACATCAAAAGAGGCTCTGTTGGTAGCAAAATAGCACAGACAGAGAATGTCAACCAACCTGCTTGAATACATTAGAAACAGGTTCCAAACCATGGGGAACCTTATGGTAAAGCCTGAACATCCTGGATAGATCATCCAACTGACATGGTGTATCCAAAAATAAATTACAATTCACGATATATTACAAGATAGCCACTAAGCATCATTCAAGAATCAGGACTCGAAGCAATTCCAGACCACTATATACCTTGTCATCTCTAAGCAATGAGCGAACTCCAGAATGTTCCTTTTCTAGCAGTTGGTTCGCATGGACCACCAACAATTCGTGTTGCACTTTCTATATAACATGTCGCTGTTGTTAGTCTACAATGTAATCATAAAAACATTCAATATAGTAAGGAAATAGCATCCAGGTAAAGAATCAATAGCAAGATGCCCTGAAACTGCTCAACTATCCTCTCCAGATGTGCTAAAACAACAAATACATGAACAGAAAACAAGATGAGATGAATATTTATTTGATAGCTTCCTTTTAGAATAGAGTCAGCTAATTGCGACTAGGAAACACACCATGTAATCAAAACAAAATAAATATATTTGCTTAGCATGCGGCATGAAGAGGCGTGGTAAATGGGCAAACACATATTTTCAAGCAAAGAGGAATAAAATGAAGGCATAAGAAACCAATAGTCCTGTACAAGTGATATGCAACGAACTAACCTCCACTAACTTTGTCTCGCTGCTTGAGTGCAAGTAATGAGAAACTCTCTCTCTCTCTCTCTTCAAGCATTCCTCAGCCTGCATATCCACAGAAGGTATTAGGATAAAAAAAAAGTCAATCATAAAACTATAAAGAGAAGCATCAACAAGTCCTTGCCTTTATCATGTAATCTGGACAGGAATCCTCTCGAATCCAGTTTGCCGCTTTAACAGAATAGTAAGCACCAGTACCTTGAAGCATATGCGCTTCAAAATCATCTTCATAATGATCCATTTGTGACATTCCAATCTCAACAAATATATCTAAAACATTCTTCAGCAGTGCTCTGTCAATCTGTTCTCCGTCTCGTTCTTTACCAATCTGCTCCACAGAACAATGGTTTCAACTTTGTTATTAGAAATAGGAAATGAAATTACACTGCTTAAAGAAGTGAAAAAGTTGCCAGGGTAACTTACCACATCAAGCACAGCATCCTTTGCTTTACTGTTCACTTCCTGATAAACCTGAAAAAATGAAAATTGATAACAAAATCATTTAAATTATCTCTGAAACAGGAAAATGAGTAATCCAAATGATGGTTAGAGAAAATGAAGCAGTCAAAGGAATTAGCAAACCAGATCACGGAAGCAAGTCAGTCCAACTTCATTAAGTGGAGGAAGTGACCTACGAGCAATGAAGTAACGGTCGAGATAATGAAAGAAGCGTGACAACCACCTAACCATAATTTTATGGTTAGCCCATCTTTTCACAAGCTCCCTCAGCATAAACTCATCGTGCTTCTCCCTTATTGATGGTAATACCTGATAAGGAAAACAGAACAAGGTAGGGATGTTAAACGGTGTAAAGTGCTAAAAGTTGTTTTATTGATTAGTATAAGCAAGAAAAACAACAGCCCATGATAAATGTTACTGCCGCAACTTCTTTAATGATTAAAACTAAAACCCAGGATACACTAAAAGAACAAATCACCCACAACCCACCGTCAATTTGCAAATCATTGAACTACTGAAAGAATTTATATTGTGGTGATAGGTGCAACCACCTAACTGTATAACAAAAGAGCTCATAGTACACTGCACAAAACAGCAAAGCATGTAGTTGAAGCTAACAGCTGTTGATTTAGAACGAAAACATCACCAGGCATAAATGTTTTGTCATGGTACTTCTTTGCTAAGGCTATGTACATTGTAAAAGGAAAGAGAGGAGCATATCCAGCAAATAATACCACATAATTTAGCAACCATGAAAAGCTTTGTTAGATGGAAGGAAATATAACTAAAGCCACAGGGCCAGCAGATGTACTAGCAAGAAGAATGATAACCAATAAAAGAAATAAACTGATGCCATTCATCCCACCGTGGAGTTTATATATTCTTGAAACGCCTCCCTGTACTTGTCATAAAGCTGCTGAGAATAGTCATTGGGTGGCTTCTGAGTACACATATTGTAGATAGTTCTGAAGTGTTGAAAATTAAAGAGAGATTAGAAAAATTGCAAGAATATTCTAACCAGTTCATCAAAACAACATTCAATAAAAAAGAAAAGAAAATATACGTGTAAAGCATCATGTATTCTTCTGAGTTGAATTGCTCCAGTGATCCATCCAGAATCCCCTTCAGCTTTGTGATCCCTTTCTGCATATATTCCCATCCTTGCTCAAGTTCAATAGTCTTGCGCTCACCCATGAATTAACAACTGAAAAACCCAAATCTGCAGGCATTGTTATGCCGATCTTTTCAGTCATTTTTACAAAACAAAGGGCATTGATCCAAGTACAAACCACTAAATACGGAAACGTATATGCATTGAACAGCGCTAAACAAACCAAAAGACAAAACAATAAACAAGAAAAAGAACAAGGAAGTCCTAAAATACAAGGCAATAAATTTTTATTATCAAAACACAAAACAATGATAATATTTCATAGCCATAAGAAATACAATCCAACAACCTAAAAATATCAGAAATTCTGCAAATAAAAATCAATAGAAACGCAAAAACACAAAGCCTGAAATTGCAATTGAACAGTAGCATTCAAACAAACGTACGTTGAAATCAAATCAAAACTTAAAAACACCATCCATGACTAAAAATCAAACCCTAGCATAAAAGCTTGACACATGAACAAATGCTCAATCGTGGTCAATATCGCTACTCAAAATCCGTAGAATTACGCAATGTGAAACAAAAAACAACACCGGAGAGTAACCCTGAACATCGAAAGAGACGTACCAGACGATGGTTGAAAACAATGCGCGAGAGATGTCTAGGAGTTTTAGGGTTAGAGTTTGTTTTCTTTTATGATTGAGAGAATTTGGGGGGAAAGGAAACAAGATAACCTCTTTATAGAGAGAGAAGAGTGTCACTAATGTAACTAATCAGCTAGTCATCTTAGTTGATAGTTCCATAGATTTAATATTTAATCAGTTAGTCCTCTTAGTTTCTACACTAAATATTTATTCCTATATTTTTAAATCTGGTTTTAATTCGTCATTTGAATGTTATTTTTCAATTTTTTTAAGAGAAGGCATTTTCTAAAATTAAAAAAAAAAAAAACCTTCTGAATTGAGGATGCTTGACAGTGGCCGGGATTCTTCATTCTCTGAGGGATGGTAAAAACACTTTCCCCTGTACACAGTGCTGTAGATGGGAACCTTTTCTTTGTCTTTTACCATCCTGCCTTTCAAAAAAAAACTCGCATGCTAATATTTGAGGGTAAAATTATATTTGCGTTGATAACATTTGACATTTTAGAATTAATCAAGAATAAAATGAACATTTGATTTTTTAATTAGATGGTAAAATTATTTTAATACTCTTAAAAGTAGATTAATTATAAGGCTACTATAGAGGGTTTCTTTCGTAGTTTCATATATTTATCCCTCTAGCTAAAAAAACACATAAAAGTAGAATAATTATAAGGCTACTATAGAGGGTTTTTTTTTAGTAGTTTCATATATTTATCCCTCTAAATAAAAAAATACTTTAATCGGCAATGAAAGGTTTTCTATCTTTTTAATTTTAAAATCACAGTAAAATAATTTAATTACAAGTAAAATTTCATTGCATTATTGGTTTTTTTTTATTATTATAAGGTTTAGTTATGAGTAATTTCATATTTTAATAAATAAAAAAATATACATAGAAAAATATAGTTGAAGTGTGTATTACACATGTCAATCGCTCTACCATTTTAAACAATGTATAAAACTAATTCTATGGTCAAAAATGTGGTTCCAAGATATCTTTCAATCCATCTTAATAGTCATTATATAAATCAATAGGGCATGCACTCATCGAATATTGTTTATTATATAAATCTCGATGGTTATTATATCTTTATTTAATTTTGTTTATTTGTCAAATTTGGACCATGTTTTTTTAGCGGCGGTTTATCTAATTTGAGATATTTTTAAAATTGAATTTTTTTTATGATTTTATTTTTTATTTTTTTCCTATTAGATTTTTTTTTTTATTTTTTTATTGTTGTTTTTTTTCTTTGACAATTTTTTTGAATTTAAGCTTTTTGATTGAGCTTGTGCCTAGGATTTCAGGTTTGTAAGTTTTGGGAGATTAACCTAACTTTATAAGATTCACATGAGCTTGCTTGGGGTTTTTTAATATTTTTTTATACTAAATTTTTTTCACTTTCATTCTTAAATATTTATTTAACTGGAAATTAAGTTTCTTTTTTCATTTGCTTTCTACATCCTTTATTTTATCATTTTTTTATTTAATTAGGTTATCTCAAGTATTTTTATTTATCATTTTTTGTTTCTTTATTTTTTTAGAATAAATTCTATTCATTAATTAAATAAAATTAATTAATTAAATATAGACATTAGATGCCAACTTTATAATGTCATGCTCGCATTTTAAGTTGTTACTCTAGTAGCCAATACGGTTTCTTTACGTATTGTTGTGCAGTCTTTAACAATGGGGTTGAACCTTTTTAATGAATTCTTCGAGTGTCGGAGATGTTCATGATGAAGTGATGATAAGTTTCCAGTGGACTTTGATAGTTCTTTTTTATATGAAAGTTATTTTGCTCCAAGATATAAATTACTATTTATTGTAATAGTGTGATTATTATATTGCCCTTTGAATCAGGTATTAGGGGGCATAATTGTCTTTTATGAATTGTATGAAGTTAGCTTGGTAAATTTGTATTTTAATGCATATTCAAATTACTCATTTTAACCATATAATTAAATAGTCTAAAACTTATTACTCAGATAAATTTTTGTATTTTTATTTTTTAGAATAGTATAATTACTTTGATGTCTTTGAAGACAAAACCATTTCAACCCTCACTCAAGGCTTTTATTATTATTATTATTATTTTACATTGTTTTCATTGTAGTTTTTAAAAATATTCAAGGATATTATTATAAAATTGCTGGCATGTGAGAAGCCATCCAACCATAAAACATCGACCTTTAGAGTAGTGTTTTGAAGATATTGATGCTTTTTGCATGGTGATATAAAACATTATTGTTTGCTTCTTAAACACATGGTTTCTTTCCTTTCCCTTTCCCTTTTGTTTTTATTTTTTTGGTTATGAGTTTTTGTAAAATTATTTTTATTGATTTCATATATTTTTTTAATATTAATATAATTGAGAATTTAATTTTGTATTTTTTTCTACAAAGTTAGTATGATTTGTAGATTTATTAGTGTAACTTGGGTTACCCTGGTTTATGAGTCTGGTGAAGTTTCTTTTTTTTTTCTCTCTCTTTTTTTTCAATTGAACCTAGTTTGTTTTTTTTTTCTTTTCATATAGCTAGAAAAATAGTTTAAGAGAAAAACAACGTTATTAGACTTTATAAAGTGACAAAAATTAAAGGATATGATGAAATTACTATTCACCCAACACTTATTGCATTATGGATTACAATAGTAATTCTCAATGTTTTACTTTTTTATTTTAAAAATTTTGTTATGATTTTTTTCAAATATGTTTTTGTTGATTTTATTTTTGAAAATTAATATAATTGAGAATTTAACTTTGTGATCTATTTCCTTTTATTTTGCCTTTATATGAGGTTAATGTGGTTTATGAGTTTACCAAGATAATTTAGGTGGCCCCGATTTATGAGTTTGATGAATTTTTTTAATTAATTTTGTCTTTTTTATAGTTTATTTTTTTTCTTATATAGTTAAAATAATAATTTTTTAGGAAAGTCATTTATTAAATTTTATAAAGTGATAAAAAAAAAGATAGAGAAAACCATTATTCACCTTACACCCATTGTATTGTGGATTGTAATAGTAATCCATGAGATTTTGTCTTTTCCTTTTCTTTTTAAAATTTTGTTATGTTTTTTTTTAAAAAATTTATTCTTGTCAATTTTATTTTTTAAAATTAAGACAATTGAGAATTTATCTTTATAATTTGCTTCCTTTTATTTTGCTTTTTTATGAGGTTAATGTGGTTTACGAGTTTGTTAAGGTAATCCTGATTGCCCTAATTTTCAAGTTTGATGGGTTGTTTTTTTTTTTAAAAAATAAACTTGATTTTTTTTTCAGTCTATTTGTTTTCTCGTGTAATTAAAAAAATAGTTTATGCGAAAAGTCATACTATTAAACTTTTTAGGGTAACAAAAATTAAAAGGTGTGGAGAAATCATTATTCATCCACACATATTGCATTGTAAATGACAATAATAATCTATAATGTTTTGTTTTCTTTCCTTTTTCTTTATGGATTTTTGTTGTGATTTTTTTTCAAATTCGTTTTTGTCGATTTCATCCTTTAATAGTAGGATAACTGAGAATTTAACTTCATAATTTGTTTCCTTTCATTTTATATTTCTATGAGGTTAGCATGGTTTGTAGATTTCTCAGGGTAACTCGGATTACCTTAGTTTACGAGTTTGATAAAGTTTTTTTTTTAAAAAAATTGAGCTTGACTTTTTTTATCACATGTTATCAAATTTTATAAAGTTAGTGGATTTACTCACAAATTTGGCCCTGACTGGTTCACTTGGTTCGCTAGTTTGACAAGTTTAATTTTTTAATTAGTTTTCTTTTTTAATTTCATCCATAGATACTTGGTTAATTGAGAATTCAATTTCATAAATGATCCTGCTTTGTCTTTTATAAGATTATAGTGATTTAAAAAAAATCTCGATATTGGGTTGATATTTTGTTTCGTAATTATCTATTTTTGTTATCATATAATTAAATAAAAAATAATTTTATAACTTAGTGGAGTCCACGACTCAGTTTACAAGTTTGACGTACCAAACTAGCTTACTCAATTCACAAGTTTGATGAGTTTACTTACCAATAAGATATTTTTTTCTGTTTTTCTATTTTTTTATTTATTCTTTTTTGATTTCATTCTTTAATATTATATTGGATGAGAAATAAACTGCATTGTTGATTTTTATTTACTTTTTTTAGGGATAATTATCTTTAATAAGTGTTTATTTTTAAGTTTGTATTCAATTTTGTGAGTATCTATTTTTTCCATATAATTAAATAAAAAAATTTATAAGAAAAAACTATTAAACCCATTAGAGTCCATGACTTAGTGCGCATGGGGATCGAACTTAATTCAATCCATCATTATCTCAGTATTTTTTTTAAAAAATTGTCATTTTGAAGTTTTTTTTATAAACTAAGTTATGTTTTTATCAATCATCAAGGTTTGCATTTAGACATATGAAATTGATCAATTCAAGTCAAACAAGCTTCCACACAGTTTAATTAAAAACTCAAGTAAGACAAAGAGCCGAGTTGGGAGACTTCAAAATTAATTCACTTTAATGTGTGAATTTGATTTTTTTGCTTAAAATAAAATTTATTTTTTATATTTTTAGATTGTTCTGATGTGTTGATATGTCAAAAATAATTTTTTAAAAATATTTTTTTTTTATTTTAATGTATTTTTAAGTGAAAAAGACTCTCTAAAAATATTTTTTTTATTTTAATATATTTTTAAGTGAAAAAGACTCTAAATCGCCACCACAATTACAATCCTAAAGAAATATTTAGTTATATTTAATAATATTATTAATTTTTTTTTATACTTTTAATATTTTTTTAACATTTTTAAAAAATTAATTTTACCCCAGTATAACATAGTTCAATATACTAATATATTAAAAAAAAAACATGAAGCAAATTTTTCTCACTAAAAAGATTTGAAACTGACAAATGAGGCTGATATTAAAAGGTATATAAGCAATAGAACCGAAGTGTAATTAGGGGACAACTATAGCGACTAATATGCACTTTCGTTGATAATAAATATCTGTACCAGCCCTGGTCATACCGGATCCTTCCACCTCATTTCCAGAGTCGGTTTCCGTTGGCATTTATACCCCTACAACACAAACCAAAAAAATTTCACGAAACCCCTTGCATCTCTCAAGTCTCATATTGGCTATTAGGGTTTGATTCGATTGCCTCTTGGAATTTCTCAAAATCTCCATTATTTCCCTCTTTGAAGGTACTCTCTCTGTCTTCCCCTTCTCTGGTATCTAGGGTGTTGTATTTTGATCAGTGTCTTGTTAATTTCTGCGCCTACCAATTCTGTGTTTTTTTCTCTATATAATCTAGTTCTAATTACGGTAGTTACAAACGGGGCGATATAAATTATGATCGTTGTCTACTCTGATCATCCAAAATTCCGATGTTTTTAATTATCAAGTGAATGGTGTTTCCTGTTTTTCAGGTTTTGTGGTTGTTTGAAAATGCAAGGAGGCAGGGGTAACAGAGATCCTTTCTTTGATAATGGTGAGCCTTTTGGGGGTTTTGGTGGCTTTGGGGGTCAGAGAAGTTTGCTCTCTGATTTTTTTGGGGGAAGGGATCCGTTCGATGATCCCTTTTTCACACGCCCATTTGGAGGCATGCTCGAGTCGAATTTCTTTGGTTCTGGTGGAAATCCTTTTGTTAATATGCATCCATCTCCTTTTCCCAATATGCTTCCATCTCCTTTCCCCAATATGCATCCATCTCCTTTCCCCAATATGCTTCCATCTCCTTTCCCCAATTTGCATCCATCTCCTTTTCCAAACCTGCATCCATCTGGATTTGTTGATCACCAAGCTCCAGAGCTGAAAAAATCAAGGGGGCCGATTATTGAAGAGCTAGATTCTGATAATGAGAAAGATGAAGGAGATAGAGAGAAGAAAGAGAATCCTAGGAAACATGGTAGGTCGAGCAAGGAGCCATACGTTGAGGACCCAGATGATGAAGCTGAAGGTGAGACGTCTTCTTGTATTCTGTTTTCTGGTACATGGCATCTTATCTATTTTGCTGTTGATAATTGTTAGACCGCGTAAACATGTATGTCATTTTTCCTTGTTACAGCGAGAAAGAGCAAGCATTTGCAGTATAGCAATGATTATAGTAGCTTCAATGGTATGGAGTCACAGCCCCAAGGACGCAGCTTCACTTTTCAGAGCTCGACTGTCACACATGGTGGTGCAAATGGAGCGTACTATACTTCTTCCAAGACGAGGAGGGCAGGGAGTGATGGAGTGAGTTATTTTTCTTTTGAGAGATGTTTGCAGTTGGTTACTTAGTTCTGTTATTTATGTGACCTTGTGAAACAGTTGATTTTCGAAGAAAGCAAAGCAGCTGATAGTGCTACTGGCCAAGCAACCCACAAGGTGTCTAGAGGACTTCACAACAAGGTATTTGTTTAGTGTTTTACGTAATGTCATTTTGCTATTCTTGCCTTCGCTTTCGCTTTCGCTTTTTGGGTTTCCTTTTTTGGTGTATAGAACGTGTTATAATGCTTTGGGTTAATTTTACAGGGCCATAGCCTTGCAAGGAAGCTTAATTCAGATGGTAGGGTGAATACAATGCAGATGTTGCACAATCTCAATGAAGGTACAGTCATATTTTCTATCATGCCCCGTTTCATATTTACATGCCCGAAAGGATTAAGTTGAAGATTGGGATCTGTGTGTTACTAGATGAGCTTACTGGTTTTGAAGAAGCTTGGAAGGGAAATGCTGGAAAGCATTTGCCTGGCTGGACTGGAAGTTTCACTGGGATGGATAACATTGGTAAGCTTGCTTTGGCTGCTTTGAAGTGCTCTCTTCTCTTATTGTTGCAGTGATGCTTGTACTTCAAAAATTGTTGTGTTCTTTGGATAGGATGTTTGTTGTGTCAAGGTGTCTCTTTTTTTATTTTTTATTTTAGCAAGATGCTTATTCGCTATAATAATGTTGAGTTGCTGATAGACTTGTGAAGATTTTTTTACTGTACTGTCTCGTGTGATTCATGTGACTGGTTGCTGTATAGAAGCAGTTGCATAAAAATTGAGTGGCAGCTGTGCATGATATAGCACAGAGACTAAGAACACTGCCCTGGAAAACATGGGGGTTGTTTCATTTTAGTTTAATTTTAAGAATCAATTAGTGCATATTATATGCAAATTGCACGTGAATAAGGGTGAGGGAGGGATGGTTACAGTTCTTTACCTTGCAGTGTAAATGGTTATGTAAGATATTTGTCAAATTTCAGCGAGTTCATAATTTCGTACCGAATGAATTACCCAAATCCATGTACTTAGGATTATGTGTTAGGTAGTTGATGTGGCTTAAGCTGTTGGGAATAGCTTTGTATATTTTGGTGCACATTTGTAATCTGCTATTTATCTTTGCTGACTGTTTGCCCCTTGCCACTTAAATGGATATGCATTTATTGGATGAATGTGTAAAAACTGATTCTTAATTTTGACCCAATTATTTAAGATATCTCGTTTTGCTGGGGTACTGATTCCTATTTTGATTTATAATTTTGGGTACAGGGGCTAGCAGAAGTGGGCAGAATGCACAAGCAAGCAGAGGAGGTTGGGCTCTTCCTTCTGCAGAACAATCACAGCACTCTGGGAGAATGGTACCAGACACCACAGTTGGGGCAGGATCTTCAGGCAAACAGCAGTCTGGAAGGAGGAAAGGTTCATCAGATGTCCAAGACATGATCGGTTATCCCAAGAAGCAGTGAGGAGACGCATCTAATAGGCAAATGGATTAAGAAGCAATCAAACATGCTTCCTTCCCAGTGCTGTGCCCACTTTTCCCTACTCCCTTGTAGTATTTGAATGGAGATAGGAAATAGATGTAACTGTTTAGCAATCAGTTCCACAATTTATGCGTCAGCTGCAGCCAGATAAGATGGTCAGTAACGTTCATCTTGGATGATTGCTGCCAGTGATTCTTCTTTCGGTACGACCACGCTTATTGTATTTAGATCTTCATTTTTCACTGGATGTCAACATATGGTATTGGACCTTTGTTTCGGATTGTATAATAATGCTAGTGATCTATGAACCCTTTAGAGTTCAACTTGGAATCCTCAGGGTTTCGTTCCTACTGTCTGCATTTTGTAACAAAAATATATACGAAATTATCATAATCTTTTAGTGGAAAAATTGAAGCCTTTGTGCTAGGGGTAATTTGGTCTTGTCTGCTAGGGGGTATATGATTTTTCCAAATTTTTTAAACACTAAAATAACTTATTTATCTATAAAATAAAATAAAATGGTTGATCTAAGGTTGCTTCTTTGTCTTGTCTTTTGGTATGTAAGCTTAACAATAAACTTTAAATTATAATTAAAAATATAATTTAAAGTTTATTGTTAAGCTTATATATTTTTTAAAATAATAAATATAAATAATAAGATATTTATGATTATTTTTTCAGCTTTAAATTATATTTAGTGTTAAAATTAATAATAGTATAATAATTCTACTTATAAAATTTGATTTTGCTTATTGAGTCAACTTGGGATTTTGCTAATTTGATGATTGGACTAGTTTGTGTTTAAAAAAATAAAAAAAAGATTAATCTAGTATAATCTAAGGTAAAACTCAAAAAAATAAATAAATAAGTTGATTTCTTTTGAATCAAAATAATTTTATTTTAATAATTATTTTTTTTAAATACAATTAACCAAGTTTGTTTCATATTAGATTTTAAAATTATAATATATTATTATTATTATTATTATTATTATTATTATATGTTTTGGATTTTAAAATTATAATAATAATATTATATATTTTAATTAGATAATTTTAAAATTAAAATTTTTTATATAAATATTTTAAAAATAAAGAGTAAAAAAATATTATTTTTAAAAACATATTTCTTATACCATTATTTTAAAAATATAAAAAATTATTCTAAAATTATTTCAAAAATATATTTATTGCTGTTTTTATTAATCAAATACTTCTTTATCTCAATTCTCAAAATGTTTTAATTTTTGGAGAGAGGCCTCTTGTCAATCTGGGCGGCATCATTGGCATTGGTAAAAAAACCATGAACCACTGGGCGGAAATTTAAACAGAGCAACAAATCTCACTTGTACTCAACTAGGTTTCACTCAGCTTTGAAAAAAAAAAAATTAATAAAAGCAAAAGTAAAAAAAAAAAAAAAAAAAGCCACAAAAATGGCGGTTATCAGAACCACAACCAATATGATTCTCAAACAAGTCTTCCTCAATCATCGACTAATACCACCATTGTCTGTGACTAGAACATTAAGTAATTTACACTGGGCGAGCCTTGAAGTACCAAATCGCCAAATCAGCTTCTGCCGGATTAAATGTGCGGCTTCCGATGATAAGAAGGTATCCGCTCGGTTGTCTCAGGTTCATCAATTACTGCAAGAAGCGGAGGAGCGAGCCAGCGCCGTTGGAAACGAGCCGACTCCAAAAATCACACGTGGTATTTAAAAGTACTTGGCTTTATTTCTTGCCCATTAGAAGAAATGTGGAAAGGAATTGAATCCTGATATTTGCAGTCTGGTTTTTGACTGCAATGAAAAAAATGAAGGAAAGAAAAGAAAATATATGATATCTAGGTCAATTAATCTAAATATCAAGTTAATTTTTTTTTCCCTAACCAAGTAGAACTTAAGATGACCTTAATCCAACAATCTAAATCTTAATTATTGTTGAAAATAACTGGATGAAATTTATCAGCTACAGTGGCTAGAAATTGTTATAAAAGTTATTATGGGATTTTTTTTCCTTTTCTTTTTGCTGTTTTTGACTTTACGGATTCTATAAATCCTTGTGTTACCCGGCGCTTTAGATGCAGCAATGTGAGAACTGGTTACTGTGGCATGCTAATAATCTATCCTGCTTTTGGCTTTGCCGAAGATTAAGCCATGCAAAATTGTCATGAGAGGTCGTTGCAGCAGAATTTTATTGCCCGACTAAAGTTTTAGTTTGAAAAGTGTCTCCGGAACTTATAAAGAGCATACGTACGGTTGGTTGATTAGCATGCATCCATAGTATTTGCTTGCTAGACAACCCTGTATCCAAGTGCTTACTAGCCAGACCCATACGTACGGTTGGTTGATTAGCATGCATACATAGTATCCCTGTATCCAAGTGCTTACTAGCCAGACTATTGATCATCCATTAATCTTGGATGAGAGTCTGGCATTCTTGGATCCCACATTGGCTTGATGCTGATTCTGTCGCTTTTCATAGGCTTGCTTTGTGTTTGAGCAGGTTCTGTTTTCTTCTCACAACTGAAAAATGGAAACATTGAGTAAGAGGGTCTGCTACTTTCCCCTTATTGGGCTGTTAAATATTCTTGTTGGCTTATTTTGTTTATGGTTGTCAGCTGTTTTTTGGGAATTTATTTTGAAAATCACACATGCCCGGTGTAACCTGTTCTATGATTAAGATACTGCTTACCCCATTCTTTATTATAAATTCTTGTTCATTGTGCTACAAGTAATTTTTGGTTCAATCTATGTCTCTGCAGGCCATGTTACTGTGAGTTTTGCAAGAAGCGGTGGGCCTGGCGGCCAGAATGTAAACAAAGGTCTATTCTCTTCCTTCTGATGTCCTATGATCCCCATTCCTAGGTGTCTTATGATCTCAAATCCTATGGTTTCGTAACTGTATTTACAGTTAACACCAAGGTGGACATGCGCTTCAATGTCAAAAATGCATACTGGCTAAGTGACAGGATCAGAGAAAGGATCATGCAAATGGTATGTCATCAACTCAACAAAGTCTAGTTCCACTTTTGTGGTCAGACAGTAGCAAGATAGTGTTCTTGATCTGAGGATCGGTAGTGGTACATAAGACCACACTAATACACTCCCCTCTCATGGCAGATGTGGGAGGAATTAAGATTAGATACATCCTTTCCTTTGGAAACTCATCCGTGTCTTCTATTATATCAACAAGAGAAGGGATTAAATCATCAATGATTGTCCTTGTTGTTTTGGTCCGTTGGTTTTTCTAGATTGAAATAACCAAAAAATAGACAAAAAAAGAAGAAGAAAGGATGGACAGAAGAAGAGATGAAAGGGAGAGAAGTGCTGTCTAACACTACTAGACCCACACCATGCACACACATATAGAGTATGTAAGCAATTATAAAAACACCCTATCAATATTCCCGCTCAAGATAGTGCATAAATGTCTATGATGCTTATGTTGCAGGAAATTGAGTGAAATATCCTAGTACTAAGATCCCTAGTAAAAATATCAGCTAATTGATTTTCAGAGTTTACAAAAGATATACAAATTATCCCATCATTTATTTTCTTCTTGATAAAGTGTATCAATTTCAATATGTTTTGTTCTATCATGTTGAACTGTAGAACTGGATTATAAGCAACATTAATGACAACGTGATAATTACAAAACAAAGGAACATGATTATCACTTGTTATTCTCACTCCCCCCATCAAATTTTTAAGCTATAACTGTTCACAAACTTCATGTGTCATAGCTCTATATTCAGCTTCTGCATTAGACCTTAGACCATACCACTACTATTCATTTCTTGCTTCTCAATGAAACTAGATTACCACCAATAAAAGTGTAATATCCAAATGTAGATCTTCTATCATTTAGAGATCCAACCCAGTCAGCATTTAAAGACTTTCAGTTCCTTTCCAGGAGCTGACTTCAAATATCTAAGAATGCAATAAACAACAATTAGATGGAATGAGTGATGATCATGCATTTGACTAACCACATTGACTAAATAGGCCACGTCGGGACCAATATAAGAGAGATAGATCCTCCACTCCCTTTGTCCACTAACTCACCCACACAACCTTTGTGGTGATGGTTGGTTTCCATAGTAGAATCAATAGGTTTGCATCCCAACATTTCGGTCTCTACAAGTAAATCAAGGATATATTATCTTTGAGAAATGAAGATGCTCGTATTTGATCGAGCAACCTTAATTCCTAATAAGCATTGTAATTTGCTCAAATTCTTGATCTCAAAACTCTAGGCAATATATATTTTCTTTGAGAAATGAAGATGCTCGTATTTGATCGAGCTACCTTAATTCCTAATAAGCATTGTAATTTGCCCAAATCCTTGATCTCAAACCTCTAGGCAAGATAATTCTTTAATAAGGTGATTTCTTTACAATCATTTCCTGTAACCACAATATCTTTAACATATACAATGAGAGTTGTTATCTTACCATTGTAATGTTTGATGAATAAGGTGTGATCGACATTACTTTGTTTGTACATAAAAATGACAACAACTTTGCTAAATTTATTAAACCATGTTCATGAATGTTGTTTTAGCTCATACAAAGCTTTCTTCAATTTACAAACTTTTCCCAATCCTTTTGCAAGTGAAACCAAGTATATCTCCATGCAAATTTATTCTTCTAAATCTCCATGTAAAAAGGCATTTTTTACGTCTAATTGTTGTAAATCCCATCCTAAATTTACAACACAAGATAAAAGAACCCATATATAGTTCATTTTTGCTACCAGAGCAAATATTTTCTGATAATCAATGTCAAAGATTTGAGTAAAGCATTTTACCGCTAGTCTTTGAACCTCTTAGTAGCTTCATCAGGTTTTTCTTTAACAACAAAGACCTACTTACATCCCACTATTTTCTTCTCAGCATGAAGAGTGGTAAGCTTCCATGTGTCATCCTTTGCCAACACATTCATTTCCTCCACCATAGCTGGTTTCCAATTTGGATCATCTAAAGTTTCTTTCCAATCACGTGGTACTGGTGTATAATATAAAAAAGATACAAAGGCTTTATACAAAAGAGATAAAGAATCATACAAAATAAAATTAAATATAGGATCCGTTGTACAATTTTGAACTACTTTCCTAAGAGATATAGGAAGATCATTAACATTAAAACTAGGAACAAGTGACTCAAGAATGGGGATAAGAGACATACTAGAAGGAGAAGATTGTAACATTGAATCAAAGGTTGGCTCTTGGCATGATAGAGTACGCAAAATAAAATATCACATTCATATTTGTAACTTTTTTGAATGGCAAAGTACCTAATAGATACACATTTTAAATTCTAGGATCTAATTTTTCAATTGTTTGTCGATGATCTCGAATAAAACATACACAACCACACACTTTAGGTGGAACTATAAAAGAGCAAACTCCTTGTAAAAGTTCTACGAATGATTTAAAATCCAGAACTCTCAAGGGTATTTGGTTGATAAGGTATGCTGCTGTAAGGACCAAATCATCCCCATAGGATTTTGAAACATTCATTGTGAATATAAGAGATCTTGGAACTTCTAGAAGATGTTGATTTTTCCATTAAGCTTCACCATTCTGATTTGGTGTAATCTAACAACTTGTTTGGTGAACAATCTTATGATCATCAAAATAACTTTGAAAGAACTTTGAAAGGTTTTATCTACATATTTTGTACTATTATGACTTCTTAAAACTTGTATTTTAGTATTGAATTCTGTGCATGCTATCTTATAAATTTTTTGGAAACATGAGTACTCTTCACTTTTTTTTATTATGGATCAAGTAAACCCAATTGGTGTGACTGTAACAATCAATGAAGGTGACATACTATCAAAAACCAAATGAGAAACAATTTAACTAGGATCCAAACATTAGAATGAATAGTTACAAAAGATGTAATGCTTCTCTTATTAATAAGTGAATAAGTAGCACTTGTGTGCTTTGCAAATTCACATGCATCATATAATAAGTTTTTCACTGTTTGGACAGAGTTGGAAAAAAATATTATTTAAGGCTACAAAAGAAGGATGCCCTAAATGATTATGCCACTAATATAGAGAAAGAAGCAGAAATGATGAAGAGAAGAAAAGAGGAAAGAGATATGAAAAGAATAGAAGTGTTGTGTGTCCAACACAACTAGACCCACACCCACACCACATGCACGCATGTACATTAGAGTATGTAAGCAATTATAAAAATACCCTAACAATAGTCATGCGGTCTTTTCTCAATCTGCTTCTCTCTTTGTGAACAGGAAAAGAATCGCATTAACAAGGATGGTGAGATTGTGATTTCTTCAACAAAGACGAGAACACAGATGTTAGTTTCTGCTCCTCTTTTCTATTCTGCTACCCCTTTTGCCTATTTTCTGCTGAACAATTGCTTTGATTCTTTCCTCAGGGGTAACGTTGATGATGCTTTAGAAAAACTACAGGTACCAAGGATTATGTGATAGTTCATTGCTTTCTATCATAAACACAATTCTTGAGATAGTAGACCAAACGGTGTCTGGCACATAAATGAAATGAGCTTGCCTTTTGTTTCTTCAATTCTGAACTCATTTGCAGATGATCTATGCTGTATCACTATGTCGCATGCTGTTAAAATTTCCTTGCTTGATGGTTCATTACATTGTCTACTATATTTCTTAGTTGTTTCTGTTTTGCTGAGCTAACAGGCAATCATTGATGCGGCTTCTTATGTTCCACCACCTCCTTCAGAAGAGCAAAAGAAGAAAATTGCCAAGCTGTAAGTGTTACCGACCATCTGTATTTCCCAACTGCATCTCCTTTTGCGCTGTGCCTACTTATTTATTTTAGAACCCCTATAGTTTCCAAGAAATATCTGGATTTCCCTATGCTTCCCCTAGTTATCTAATCTGAGTCAGCATGATTAGATTGTGAAGGTTTCAGATTGACTCTTGCTAAAATTTCCATGTTTAACAGGGCTTCTATCGGGGAGCAGAAGCGACTGAGAAGTAAGAAAGCCCTTTCAGACAAGAAGGCTTTTAGAAGAAGTCGGGACAGTTGGGACTAGATTGTTTATTAGTAAACCTATCAATCTTGGAGCAATTTGTGAATTGACGTCCCGCCAGAGTTAATTATTATCAATTTTTTGGGTGGTTACATGAATTGTTTTTTCTCCTTTTAAACATGTTCCATGCATGTAGGAATATATGTAAAGCATCGACTGTTCACTGTCATGATGAAAATAAAGTTGACAAGTAAAGATGGATCAAATTACACCCCAGAAGTCCTCCAGAAATAGAGACCGCGGGAAAGTATTTGATGCTGCGTATGACCAGTCATTGTAGGCTATTGATTGAATAAATAGTGAACTCTTTACAGCTTAAGATCTAACTTTTGTCGAAGTTGCACCACCGCAAGTGTGGATTGGTTTTACAGGGATTTCAACTTGTTCATATCACTTCTAGATATTTCACAACGTGCAATTAAGTTCTCATAGGACGCTTGCTGCCTGGGAAGAAAAATAAGCTAAGCAAATTATCCAGATATCACTAGAAGTGATATTTCCCCACCGCCTGGGAAGAAAAATAAGCTAAGCAAATTTATTTCCCCACTCTTTATACTTCGTTCTATCAGAAAGCTGGTGCACATGTGCCTGCCTGTTTGGCCTCCAAATTCTTGCGATTCAAAACGACAGTTGATTTGGCTATCTGGTAATAGGCTGGAAGTTCCCGTATATTTTTCATCAGAAAATCCCTGTACTGTTTAGCGGTGGGGTTATAAAGGAAGAGGGTGAAAAGAAACAACAAAACAATATTAAAAGAAAAATACGCCAGCTAATTCTCGTTCCCTCTCTCTCTTAAAGTTTTATCTGTACAAGTCATTGTCTGCTAAAGAAGAGGAAAGAGGAGAGAAAAGGTGAAATTTCTATTCATAAAACTGAAGAACATCAAAGTCATGTCCATGGGAGATCACTTTCGGATGACATACTCCTCCCCTGATTGTCTATCGACATGCTTGATCCATCGGCTTTCACCCTTGCCTGAATTACTAGAACTTCCCCCACTGGTGGCTACGTGTGCAATATCCAGACCCTTACCTACAGGAAGAAATACAGAACGCACAAGTCGTCGCGATCCATCATCAACAACACTTCTCCATCTAAAACTTGACTCGTTCCTTGAACTGGCATTCTTGCACACCAAAACTGCACCCCGGCTGCTCAGCTTTGCCACCCTCAATACTCTAGCAAAATCCCTTTGCCGTGAATCCACCACCATAAAATCTATGCCTACCAGCCCCTCCATAACCTCTTCTGCCTCCCCAATAATAATTTCTGGGGACATCCCAGCCTTTCCCACGGCTTCCTCATATTGTGATCTTGATAGTTCATCAGGCACAATACAAACGTGTCTTCCATCCGTGTGGCGGCTAGCTATGGCTAGACCAATACTCGTGGCAAGAATTCCACCTTGTGACCATGTTTCTAGTATAAGTTTGGCGTTCCATCCAGCAGCCATGGCTGAAATAAGCTCAGCGACACTGGATTCTTGATGAACCTCACACTGCAAACAAATTAATTAAAACTCACGAATATTTTAATCAAATCATGAACAAGCAGAATATATGGATAGCAATAAACTGTGTAAAATAATAAAGAAAAGTTTGTTTTCATACAGATTTGACAGTATCGATGTAGGCCTTTGAGGCTGTTTCAGGTGACCAGACTAGCTTCATTTCTTATTCTTCGTTCAAGTTGTGTTTTGCTTTGTAGTTGACAATACAAGAAGTTGATGTCTTGGGTTGGCTTTTTATTTGAGACAGGAAGGGTTCTAAGAAGTAAGTTTTTTTATTTGACCGAGTAAGTTTTTTATTTGACCGTTGACATTAAGATGATGTTTTGGCGATGATTTTTTAAAAATTATTCCCATGTATTTTAAAGTAATTTTTTTTTTAATCTCCTTTCATCGCAATAACAAATACACACTAAACAAGGCAAATCTAACCTGTTGTGGATTGGGATTGGGGTTAGAACTCGGTGGAGGTTGGATAATTTTTTTTTTTTGCAATAAATAAATAAATATACAAGTATTTTATTTTTAAAATTCTTATTATAAATAAAAAAACATATATATATATATAATTAAATATATCAAGAAGCTAAAAAAACATATATATATATATATATAGATTTAATTAAATATATCAAGAAGTATATATATCAATAAATACAAAAAATAAAATATTAATGTGTTTATTCAACTCGTCTTATTGTAGGTTGAATAACTTTTTTTTTAATATAAAAAAATTAATATATAGATATTATTAATGCGCTTTTAATCTGACATAGAGTGAACAATATAAATATAAATTAAAAAATAAATGACTATATATAATAAAATATAATAAAAATTATATACGTCTCAAGTTATTTTTTAATGCAGCCAAAAAAAAAATATAATTGCTATATCAAAAAAAATATTTTCTTAGTCATTATATAACAATTTTTCAGAAAAAAGTGTAAAGAAAAAGCCATAAAACATTTACAAAAGAATAAAAAAAATATATAAATAAACTAGTGGTAAATACTCAAAGTGTAAAAAATTAAAAAAAAAATATTTTTTTTTCAAAAAAGTTGTTAAGAAAGAAAAATGTAAAACTAAAAAATATTTCGAAATGTACTTTTGTTTGGTGATCTTGTTAGACGGTTAGTATATTTTAGTTGGCTATCAATATATATCATCAAGAAATGCTATTATCTTCTCCCTTTTCCTCGAGAATACAAGTACTTGTGTTTGGTGATCTTGTTAGATAAAAGATCATCTTGTCTCGTGTATATCTACAACGTTACGCGCAATGACAAAAGAGATTAGCTCAAAAGCTGGTAGCCATTGGATTTATCTAGCTAGGTTACATTTTCTTAATTTTAATTAGCACCTGAATTCATATCATTAGATACTTAAGTTTATTTCTCCACCTCCATGTCAATAAGATTTCTTTTTCAACCATGGGATTTCGTTGTCGCCATTCTTGCTGTGTGATCCTAGTTTTCTGCTTGAGATTGAAATTAATCATGCAAGAATGGGTTTTTTAATTGACCGTGCAACCTTGCTCGCCATTCTTGCTGTGTGATCCTAGTTTTTAATTGACCGTGCAACCTTGCGACATGCCGTGATTACGAACTTTACCATCATATGGCCATGCTATCCTGCCCACAGAAACTGAATTTATGTGGATCAGATGACTCTTCCAAGTCTCAAACAGTGCAGTCTACTGTCCGATGATGCAATGATCTAGAACTTTAGTACTGCGACTGCAGATTGATTTGAATGCTATTACCAGACGAAATATTGGTCACCTGTGTGCATTACTTGGCTGATGCGGAGCATCATTGTGGATATTGACTTACAACAAGAGATCAGCTGTTATCGTTATATTTTCTTTTCGCACGAGGTCAATTCCAGACCCATGAAAGCTCAACTATAACTCATGATCAATGGATCGATAAATCAAGCTTGGACGAATGACACGAATTCGGAAACGTTTCTTTCGACCTGAGAAGGAGATATATTACGGCTACTGGAGATGGATACTTACTTGTTCTCTGTCGGTTTTAAAAATAAGGTGAAAATGAGAGGAAACGAGACTAGTTTCTGGCGGGGGAGGGGAGGAGAGGGGGTTATCATTTATTGAGGACAAGAGATGGAGGCCGAAGACAGCAGGGAAGTCGAACAGGAGGTGTGTTCTTGGGTCACCGTACGTGTCCGTGTAAACTGTAAACTAATCCCAAAGAGTACGATTTCTAAAAGTCAAAACAAATTTCTTTTACAAGTATTAGCCGCCGATGATGCTGACCTCGACGTTTATTGAATCCTAACGCTGATTGGTCGGCTGGGTTGCCACGTCATATATGGACCCATTCTCGTTGAACTGATTTGGTCCTTTGGAGTTTGGACACTGATAACTCGTACATGATTTCATCTCAGCCGCTCTTTGTTTTAGTACAAAAGTGTGCCTCATGATTTCATCTCAGCCGCTCTTTGTTTTACTACAAAAGTGTGCCTCAACAATGATTTTAATAATGTAAATGACTCGTTCGATGTATAATAAGTCATGATTCTAGACTAATAATATTAAATAAAATAAATAATTTAATTTATTATAATATAATAATTAATTAATTTATATTTAAAAATCAATTACATCATTTGACAGCATATTATGATATTTTAAATATTTAAAAAATTATAAATAATTTAATTTAAATTTTTAATAAATAATTTCGTGAAGTAATTATTATTTATTCATGATGAATGTTTTGATTTATATATTATAATATAAAGTATATTTGGTTTATTCTCAACATTTTAATGATTAATTTTTTAAATAAAAAATAAAAAAATTTTAAATCACATTTTATCTTGCACAAGAACTTCACAATTAATACTATTTAAGAATTAGTTAAATATTTCTTTTTAATTTATCTAAAATGATAAATTCTCTTTTAATTCTCTTTTAATTACTTAAATATTTTTATATAACTCATATTATAACTAATGTTTACTCGTTCATTATCCTTATCAGAGCAACGCGTAGTTAATATAAAAATATAATATTTTTTATATAATATAACTTAGTAATTTTAAGTTTAAAAGTTATTTATATAACTATTATATATATCTTTTTATAAATATAAGTGATTTGTCTATATAAAATTCTTATGCGGATTAATTTAATATACATATCAACTGATAAATACATACATATTAATTTTAAATATTTTTTATACTTTAATTTATAAAAAAAATTATTTTTCTTTTTATAAAAAAATACATTAGTCTCAAAAACTCAAATTAACACCAATCTTAATATAGCATTAAAAAATTCTGTATGCGTGCAGCTCCTGGAACTAAAAAAAATAAAATGCATAGAGATATGCCCGAGACAATAGTGGACAAACTTAGATGAGTTGAGATTGGGCAAGGGAGAGGCCATTCGGCTCTAGTCAAACGGATAGAGTTTACTTTTTAAAAAATATTGGTTCTTATGCACCATCAGACTTGAATTTACTTGTATATATCTAATTATATATAATATGTTTCTAAAAATAACAATGATTTATAATACGAGCTTCTTTTAGATTTTTCCATTTAAACTAACTAATTAATTTTGACATATGAATTGCACATGTAAGACATTTAAATCAAACTATTCACAAGAAAATTATGTTAGGATAGATCATTTTAACGTTTTGGCAAACCCTTTGGTATATTTTGCTTTACAAGGGAAATATTGAATTTAGCTAACCTTTTCTTTCAGTTTCATTTATTAAACGTTTGTATGTTTTTGTCTTTATCAAGTAAATAATTAATTTCTTGACCTTTTGGAGTTAAATGGGTTTTATTTGTTAATTTCAATAAACAATTATTTCATACCCGATAAATATCTTAAAAAATGTGCTATTTATATGAATGTGTATATCCTCAAAGGGTAATTTTTCCAAAAGAAAAAAAAAATGGCCTAAGTGAAAATTCATTAGTTTTGATGGAATTTTAGTAGAATAACTATCGAAAAGTATTATTTAAAGAGCATTGGATGTGATTAAACATGTAAGAATGGAATAAGTTCTGAATTTCATTCTGCGCGCGCGGCATATATATAAATATAAAGGGTTCTAAATTCTACTCGTATCAAGAGTTGAGAGATTGAGGGATTCTTTGTTTTATTAATTTTTAGGTCGAAGCCCAAGAACAGACAATCTTTACTTTCCCTGCTTCTGGGCACAGTCTACTCTGATTCTTGTCACCATCAACCCTTATCATCTTTGGTTTTTCTCCTTCTATCGGAGAGAATTGTTGTTTTAGAAAAAGATCCTACTGATCAAGGCAAAAATAAAACCAATGCATGCCTAATGGAGCATCAACTGCTTG